GAATTCCATGCCGACTCGTCGTTCCCACCGGTGCACGTTGCACTGTATCTGTAGTCTGATGCATTATGACTACTGGCATGTGCAGGACTACATGTACATTTGCAGCCTGACTTGGTAACCCAACTAGTGCGGGGAGTGCCATTGTTGCCGGTGGTTGACTCGGCACCCTGAACTGTAGGGGCTGGGCTGCCATTGCTTCCTGACGTGATGTCTCACTGGCACTTGTCCCACCTTGGCTTCCTCCTGGAACATCATGGCGCTGTCCCTCCTGATATGCCAAGTGCTCCAGCGTGGCGCACATGTTTTTAGTGAGCGCGGCTGTGGTCCCGCTTAGGCTGTGTTGCTGCCTGAGTGCGCCTTGGCCTACCACGTGGCATTTCCTCCTTTGTTTAACAACTCAGGACCGTCACAGAGAATCCTCAATTACTACTCACAAAACAGGAAAAATTTAAGCGAACATTGATATTTAATGTATGGAGCCGTGACAACAAGTGGCTTTCCTAGGACTGGCCCTGGCTCTTTTTGTATGCTACCACGAATCAATACTCTGATTGGTTAGCGCTAGATTTTGGCACTGCTTCTAGGAGTGCTAATTTCACATCTGCATAGTTTAGCAGCAGACGCCGTAGCTGGCCATTTGCACATGGTGTGCAAGTAATGTTTATCCCGTATTGGCCCATTCTAGGATTCATCTAGAAATCCATCTGCATGGAGACATGTTCTGTGCACTGAAATCATGCACGCTTGATTGAACCGTATTTTGGCCTTCTCAGCAGGTCGCATCAAATCTAATAGATTTTACTCATTATGGGGTAAAATGTGTTCCCTGCCACTCGTGCACTGATTCGATGGACGGGGCTGGTCACTGCTCCATGAACGTGGCAGGTACTGCGCAAGCGTGAGGCTGTGGTGAGGCTATAAAAGCCACTCGGCCCCAGCGTGAAAGGGGAGACAAACCTTGCCCGCTAGGTTCTGAGCACTGGCCTGGACTACTGGTTCATGGTAAGCACTACTCCCTGTATTTTAGGGGTGGTAAGTGTCACAGTGGGTTGCATGGAGACGTTAGGACCCTCTGAGGGGCCTTTAGGTCTGCGATCAGTCGAAGTAGGGGCTATCTGCCGTAACTCTTGCAGGGGCAGCGTCCCTAGCAAATGTCTCATTTGCAGCCTGAGTGAACCCCTGCTACCTGTATGTTTGGTTGTTGCGCTGGTGCATTGCAGTCTTTACAATAAACGTGGTGTCTTAGTGTGTCGCTCTCTTGAAGGCTTGGCCACGAGTGGGCTTGGAGGTTGGAAGGGCCGTAACGTGGTGTGTGCAATGCGGGAGAAGTAAAGGTGTGTTGCTAGAACCCACTTAGTATTAGTTGAATGGAGCGACATCCCTAGATTGGTTTTGGCCCTGGATATCATATGCCCCCTTACAGATTGTGCATTGTGGGAGGGAAGTACGCTATATATATTTCTGTCCTCACCCACAAGCTACGATTGAGAAAGCACCCTCTGTTAGTTACTGTCGACCTGTTCCCTCGTGAGGTGGTTTTTCTTATCAGGCGAGTGAAGTTGAGGTAAAGTTGTCTCATTTAAAGGAGCACCCTCTATTGTTATGTTTTCTACTGTAGAGTGAATAGTCGTCCTAGACCGTTTATTTATGTCACTTTGAGTTCCCGCTAAACCACTAAGTCAATCAGATAACAGCAAACTGCCATCCAGCCAAATCTGAAGGATCATCTCTTCAACTGGGACAGTATACTTCCATCCCAGCGGACTCGTCCCTAGCCGCTCAGGGACTTGCCAGTACGTGCCGTCCACGCCGCGCTCTGAGGAGGAGGGTGCCCTCACTGGAATCTTGCTCAACCTCCAAAGGGGCGTGGCATCACAATTTTAACTTAACTAGAGGTTTGACAGTTGTTAAAACAACTGCAGGCTGTTCGGCATTTTCAAGAAAGTATGTCAAAAAACATCTAAAATATGAAAATATCTGAACGAATAGTAAACATTAACATTTAATGAACGTTACACAATTCAATCAGATTGACAAGAGTGCTGAACACTGGCTTTTGAAAAATTTACAAAATCTATATTTGAAAATGAATTATTCAAAAAACAAGTAGTTGATGATTTCATCATAACGTCATAAATTAAGCCAAAACTTTTTATCGAGGTCTTGGTTGGTTGCAACCTTGATGATGATCAGACACCTCAAAGTTATCTTGAGCTGAAGTTAGCGACTACTCACTCATGAGCTTTGAATAGTAAAATGTGTACAAAACCTATGGGAAAAAAATGCAGCTTTAATCTCATGTCACGTGACCCCTGATGATGTCATTTTGATGATTTTCCCTGAGAACCTCTCTTAACCCTAACAGTCCCAAATCCTCCAATTTCAATACGATTTTACATACAATCTTGGGGGTTAGGGTAAATGATGGATTTCAAGTGTACATTGAAGGAAATAAGTCAGATTGACTAGAGTGATGATGTCATCTTGATATCATTTATTTAGTATAGTTCTTGTATCAAGGTCTTTGTTGGCTATCACTTTTATAGCTATCAAACATAGCGAAGGTTTCAAAATAGTGGCTTGAAAATGTTAACAAAGTCAATGGGCTGGAAAACCAATTCAAAGAAGCTTTAAGATGTCACATGATTTGTGTTTAAACTGAAAGAAAATTATGAAATATTATTTGATATTTGGACTCTTGGGTATATTTGTAATCAAACAAAGACAACAAAAAATACAATTTTTCTTTCGTTTTCATAGTAATCCTCAGCCAAAGTTCAGGACAACTCTCATTAAGATCGATAATATTGCGTAGTAGAAAAATGTGTACAAAACCGATGGAGAAAACTGCAACTTTAATCTCATGTCACATGACCCCTGATGACGCCACCGTGACAATTTCATTTTGACAGCACCAAAGGTTTTTGGACTACGTATGCTCCAAACATAAAGACACTCAGATGTATGAATGCACCAATCTTTGACTTTAGAAAAACTTGGACAAAACCTATGGAGAAAACTAAATATTCAAAATTCAATAAAAAATAAAATGATGATATTTTTCTCCTAATTTTCTCCTAAACCCTCTCAAACTGTTATGCTAAGAATCTTGACCTAACATTCATTGAGACAGGTCGAGAACAGTGTGGAAGTCTGGCTGTTGAAAAACGTGTACAAACCCTATGGCGAAATATCAAATATTGAAAATTCAAAAATAAATCATGAGATGACGTCATCGGGACAAATTTGTTCTATTATCATCCTTGAATGAATGTCTGAGTACCCACTAAGTCTGGAGCCTGTGAGATTTAGTTAACTGCCAAAGTCGATTGATGGAAAAAAGCGTATACAAACCCTATGGGAAAAAAATTAAATATTCGAAATTCAAAAAGAAATCATGTGACAAATTTCTTCCCGGACCATCCATGGATAATTGTCCAAAGGTCTGCCAAGTTTGAAGTCGATCAGATTTAGTAAACTGCCAAAGTCGACTGGTCAAAAGAATTGGTCTGAAAAAGAGCTTTAAAAAAATAATAATCAAAAAAGCAATAGCTGTTTCGGCTGACTTGCCGAAACAGCTAATTAACCACCTCCTGGATTTTTCTTGAGCGAGACAAGATGCAGGGACCATTTCAAGATTTTCCATTTTCAAAATTCATCAAAAATTCATATGTTCATTCACTGGACATTTACACCCACATGAACGACTGTCTGGTGGCTACTGTAATCTGACAGGCAACCTTCATTGATGCCCGAGTATTTCAGCCAAGCCTTCAGCCCTGTAATAGAGGGCCCAGAATTGTGGGGTGTTCGGTAATTTCCTTTGTTCCGGTGAATGCCAGTAGTGTCTTTTTATATGCAGCTGGATTAGCGAGAGGTGGCACTGTGTCGTTCATCAATGGTGCCCTGGAGCACTTTTGTCTGCAGTGCTAATCCGCAGGCGGGCTATGCCCAAAACAGTGGTATACTGTTGCAAAACAGTGCTGGATTACCTTCAAAAAATGAAAGTCAAAAAATTACAGCAGTTCCCAGCAGCAGGTCTTTTGTTATACAGACCAGCTCTTTTGTCTGAAACCGGGCACCCCGGCTCTGCATATAAACGCACGGTGCCCGAAACTGGGCACCCAGCAGGAAGTGGTTGACACTGTAAATTCACATGCGATTGGGCCTTCTTGCTATGATTTGTGGATAATAAACCTGCCAACAAACCAACTAACCTGAAGATTGACTTTGCTGATTTCATCATCCTCCTACTTACCGACACAAAACTGAACTCATAGTCCAAAGCATTTAAAGTGACCATGCAATGCAGTTAATTCACTACAGAGCATTTTTGTGTTTCATTTAACCTCATTTCAGTTTTTGCTATTTCAGTCTGTATCTGGCTCGTAAGTGACTTCATCATACATGTGGACACACCAAGATTTGCAGGTTCTCATTAGAAGATCGCTGAAATTGTGCATTAATTTCCTGTGCCATGGTTCCATGTAAACAGCGGTCGATGCATGTAACTCTATGCGCAGGGCAAGTGCAGTGGGCATGGTTTAAACTGAAGTGACGTCACACTTATGAACCGGATTTTGTTGCCTTTGTTTAATTTCCATATTCATGAGCAAAACGTTGATGTTATCTGGGCACAAAACTTCAGTGTTGATTTATTTGTGCACAAAAAATGTTGGTTTCTTTGCCACTTTTTAATCATTTAATTATACGGCAGCAAGCAACCTTTCTCAGATGTTTCTTAAAAGACCAAATTCAGAGTCCAAATTTGAATGTGAAAATATGTGAACTGAACAGTTTCTTCCCTGATTTACATCACAACAACAGTACCCCCACTTGTCTGGGAAAGCTTGCAACAACTGTGTTGTCCATACACTTCATCCCAAAAGGATTTCAAACAGTTTTCGTAAATTGAAAAAGACTATAATGAAGATACACAAAAAGTGAGAAGAATTCAGAGCATGTATACTTTAAGTCTCTGACCTTCTTTTATTATGCAGGCAGAAGAATCAACTATTGATCTGTCAGATGTTGTCATTGGCAAGACAGTCAATCGTGATCTGGTCATCCTCAACAACAGTAAATGTAATCTTCACTACCAGCTATTCGTAGATCAAGAATTACAGGGAAGTTGTGCACAGGAAGCTTGTCAGCAAGATGCATTGGGTAAGATTATTTTACACATGTATGGATTGGACATTATAGAAAGTCATTTGCATATTTTCCACACAACGGGCCTGTTATTTATGATGAATTAATTTTCAATGATCCTGCGTAATCTTTGGGTCTTGCTGCAGTTACTATAATTCGCAGTTATTTGCCGTTTCGAACACCGGCCGAAACAGCATTTGTTTTTCTTAAGATGGGGGGGTGCTGTTTTTTTCTTCTTCGCAAGTTGCAGAAAAGGCATTCTTTTCATCAATTTTTTGGGGGAGGGGTTCGGTCACCAGCCAAAACAGCTTTTGTTTTAAGATTTTTTGTCTTTTTGACTTTTTTGCAATTTTGTGAAAAAGCCTATTTGTTCGTCAGGATTTTTTGGGGGGGTTCTTTTTGGGCCGAAAGCCCATAGACTTTGATGAGTTTTTCCTGTACAGCTTTTTTGCCATTAATCTTTGTCGCACAGAATTCAAAGTTGGCATAGGCATTGTCATTATTGCATAAATGTGTGCCGAAGCATGACGTCATGATGACATTATCGAGTGATGTATTATTGATTTTTCAATATTTATTTCAGCCCATTCACTTTGTGCACATTTTCGAGGCACTATTTTGGTACTTCAGTAACTTTGATTGTCGTCAAAGTTACAGCAAGCACTGACTATAAAAGGAAGATAATATGGAAATATTTACGTCGTGATGATGTCATCAAGTGATTTATTATTATATTTTGAATATTTATAATATTAAATATTCCATTAGAATTATAAAAATCCATATAAAATCAACCGTGGCCTCCTGCAACATTCTTTTTGCAGCAAGTTGCAGGATAAAATGTGGTCTTGAATTCATCTCCTGTGGGCCAAATCACGTGACCCTTTCTTCTGGCCGAAACCGGAAGTGGTCTTATTGTTTAAAATTGGTAATAGTTATGAAGTTGTTTTCAACAGTGTTAGTCTGTTGGGGTATATTATTCTTCAAATCATCTACTGATGACGTCACCTAATTGTCGAGCGCCCTCTAGCGACAGTTTAAAAATTCTGAAAAATGAATTTTGAATAGAGGTCTATGGCAAAGTTTGACAGAATCGTCTGAAAATTTATGTAGATGATCATCTTTACACAGTCAACGGGTTTGGGGCTGATGACGTCATCAGACTGGAAGTTACAATAAAAACTTCTTGTATTCTTCAAAACTCGGTAAAAAATCAACCGTATGAGATATAAGCCTGAATTGTCTACAAGATGATAGCTAAAACATTGGAGTCAGCTGCATGAAGTGCATAACTGGTGTACTTCTTCACACACATGAAGCGACAAAACCCCCTTACCATATAAACTGCCAACTCGAATATCCCATTTGCATACTGTGCATTGGCTACTGTGTGCATAGACGCCCAATATCTGCCTGCAACATAGACGATGCATAGTGCGTAGGTCATATACTCAGGACCTGTCAAAATGCCAAGCACTTGCTGCTGAGAGCAGATTGCACTGTATGGAACGCCAACAGGGACAAATGTATAAAATGTCTAATTTGTGTCTTTTCTGCAACAACATTAATGTTTTGTTTTGTATATTGTATTTTACATGTCTGATTGGTTTGAGACCTTGCAGGTAGTTAGCAAGGGAAAGTTTACAAACGGAAATTGACCTCACGTGATGACAATGCCATCAGCAGACAAGTCACGTGACATTAAAGATCCATCATTTAAAGCCCTATATTTCCAAAGGTACATGTCACAGTGGGTTGAAACTTAGCAGATATCTGGAAGGGGATGTGTGATACACACAAATTGACCTCATGGGATGATGACTTGATCAGTTGACAGGTCACGTGACATGAAATAAGCATCCTTTCAAGCCGTATATCTCCAAAGGTACATGTCCCAGCAGGTTGAAACTTAGCAGATATCTGGAGGGGGATGTGTGATAGATAAAAATTGACTTCATGGAATGATGACGTCATCAGTTGACAAGTCACGTGACATAAAATGTGCATCCTTTCAAGCTTTGTATCTCCTTAAGGTCACAGCTGTTTGACAGTTTGCCAATATCTGGATGGGGATGTGTGATAGACGAAAATTGACGTCCTGAAATATTGACGTCATCAGTTGAAACGTCACATGATGTTAATGGTGCATCATTTAAAGCTTAATATCTCTGGAAGTACACGTGGCAGCGTGTTGAAACTTTGCATATATCTGGAAGGGGATGTGTGATAGATGAAACTTGACGTCATAGAATGATGACGTCATTAGTCGAAATGTCACGTGATATTAAAGGTGCAACATTTAAAGCTTTATATGTCTGGAAGTTCAATTACTAAAGGGTTGAAACTTTGCAGATATTTTGAAGGGAGTGTGTGATAGACAAAAATTGACCTCATGGGATAATGACAGTCGATAAGTCACGTGACATGAAAGGTGCATCCTTTAAAGCCCTATATCTTTAAAAGTACATGTCCCAGTGGGATGAAACTTTGCAGATATGCAATCACGACGATGACATTTTCATTGTAAAGCAAAAAAGCCCTTTGTTCTGCTGCAAATAGACATAGATCCTCTCGTTATTTTTCTTTTTCAAATTTTTGCTATTGACATAATATGGAGTCATTCTATACACGACTTTCGATACTTGCTTTGGGCTGATTTCCTTCAAACCTGTAGACTACCACCTGAGGATGTATGCCAAGTCACTACATCATCATGACGTCATCATCTTTTTTATTATACAATTTGGAATATTTAAATTTTCCCATATGTTTTGTACATGTTTTCATGGCAACACTTTGGTTGTTCAACAAACTTCAAAAGTTACCTCAAGCAAAAATTTTGAAGCAAAGATAATACAATGGCAGCATTGGGCTAGTATACTCCCTAGGGAGCTGAGATGGTTTCAGGAATGTTCAAATGATGTGAGCCCAATGATAAGGGATAAGATAATATATCAGCACCTTTGAATTGCAGATTGTTAAATACTGTGCACCTTATAAATGCTTTGATATTGTTATTACTCCAAGTACCCAATGCAATGTGGTCTTGAAGTAGAATTCGTTATTGTGGTGTTGCATAGTATAAATCCTTGGATATGCCGGTCCTTCATTTTTCAGATCCATTCTCACTTATGCAATTTTCTCTTAGCAACGAAATTCAAACATACCCATATAGATAGTCTGTTCTGTTGCTATACTTTCTAGGCATGCTGTAATCTGATCAGGAAACAGAATCTATTGTTAAACACTTACTACCAGGGAACCCCATTGCAAGCACCATGGGTTGCCCAAAATGGGACAAAAGAGCTGGTTTGTGTAACAAAAGACTGTACTCGGAACAAAAGACCTGCTGCTGGGAATTGCCATTATTTTTTTGCTTGCATTTTTCGGAGGTAATCTGTTACTGTTTTTAAACAGTTTACCACTGTTTTGGGCATAGCACGCCCGCGGATTAGCACTGCAAACAGAGTGTTCTATGGCCCCATTGATGAGTGACACAGCACCGCTGCATGCTAATCCAGCCGCATTTGAAAAGATGCCACTCGCATTCACCGGGAACAAAGAAAATTATGCAACACCTCACAATTCTGGGCTCTCTTTACAGGGCGCCAGGCCTGGCTGAAATATTCAGGAGTCAATGAAGATCCCTGTCAGCTTAGAGTAGCCACTAAAGTGTCATCTGTGTGGGTGTAAATATCTATTAAATGAAATGATAAATTTTTAAAGAATTTTGATAACTGAAAATCTTGAAAATTGCCCGTATGTGTGCACTGCACTTTGAAAAGCACCCAGCAGCATGTGGTTAAGACATTTTAAAAATTCACAATATGTTAACTACATCACATGTTTCTGATTGCTTTGTCTATTATTTCTTACTTTGATATTGTCAGCACTTGAGCTGGATGTGTGCAAAGGAGTTCTACCTGCCCGGTCCCGTCACATGGTCCATACCACCATACGTCCTCTGCAGCGTATTTCTTACACGTTCCACCTGTCCTATCAGCTTATGTCACCAACAGGTCACCCCTTATCACAAGACAAGCAGAAGCTTTGCACTGTCAGTGTTGTTGGGGTTTATCCCACTTTGAAGGTGACTGATGCTAGATGTTATGGCAGTGCCAGTGGCATTAGTAAAGCAAGGGTGTGGAGCTTGTTTTCTTTGGACAAGTAAGTTACAGTTGAACATTGACGTGTGAAAGGAAATAAAGTTTCTCATGAAATGTCCTTTAGTCATCACTTAAAAATCGCATGCAATATTGCCCCCCAAAAATATGTCTCCTGTGTTCACATACACCTGCTCAGCCTACATTTGCAAATTTCCCATGTGCCTATTGCAATTCGCTGAAAAGACTTATGCATTGTGCCTCTTGACCCTCCACAATGACGTAAATATGACGTTATTTTACTTCACATCGCATTCGCGTGAAGTACAACTCAAAATTCATGATGTAGAGGTAGAATAATGGACCGTCATACAGATTCCTTTAATACAGGTTCACAAATTAGCCTCGTGCTACAGCTAGAAATTTTGTGGAAACCGCCCATTTCAAGTACGAGGTGTACATCTTCAAATTAAATACATGAATACAGAAAACAAAAACATAGACATGAGATCAATTTTTGTGAATGAACCTGCAGAAAAATTCGTGATGGCAGTGTTTTTTCGACTTGTGGCTGTAGAGCTGCATTTGTGTACCATGTTCATGTACATGTAGTGGAACATTCGCGACCCCTTTTGGCAGGAATTGTACATGGGACTGGTTGCCGCATTTCCCTCATGCCTTCTTTGGCATCAGTTTGGCCAGGCGGAACCAGTGTGATGCACTGCGCACGTGTTTTCACCACCACGATTCGTAAATGCTTATTATAAATGGGTCGTCAACAATGGTTTTTCAGGCAGTGGGCTCATGAAAATCATTCGTTGTAACAGGAATTTTGTACAATGCAATTGCGCTGTAACAGATTTTTTTCCCCCATAGAAACGTGTACATTTTCACCGGGACTTGTTTTTGTTACAACCAGAATTTTGTTATGGCTGATTTCATAATAACGAGAGTCTACTGTATTAAAATCGTGGAAAAAACGTAATATGTGAATGTTTCTCCGAGTTGGTAATTTTATTCCAACATCACCTGGTCTGTGGAAAGAACACAATCAGTAAAAGTATCTCAAATTCGATCGTGTTTTCCACCATCGTCCAGTCCACAGAAAAAACGCAGTATGTAAATGTCTCTGTGTCTCGTGACATAGTTTCTCTCCAACAATAGCCCCCGCTGGGCCAGCTCATCAACTCGTTGTGCACTTGAGTGCTCACGGGCGTGCAGTTCGCAAACTTGTCGGCCGCTTTGCAACGACAGACTTGCTGTGAAAAAAACGGACTTTACACTGAAGAACGGTAAGGCATTACCTGTAAGCCCCCTATCCAGTACCGCTTGCTACTTCCAGCTTAATTTCTGGCTTTGTCAGTCCATCCATTACACAAACACCCATTCATTTTATTTTTTGCACTTAATAAATTCATTCTATAACAATTTTTTAACTTATCCGGGTGCAACTGCACTGATTGATGTAAAGATTTCATGACACAGACTACATATTTATGTGGTGAGTTCCAGAGGGATTTTTTTATGCTATCAGGAAAACTACCGCACAGCAGCGAGGTGGATACTCACTGCTATGATGCCACCTGGTTGCGTATTATTTCTACTTCCAAGACGCGAGTTGGAAGAAGCCAATGACGTGCTCCAATTTGCTCATGAATATTTATGAGGTGTAGTAAATCTTGATTCTTACTCATGGAGTGTCTGTGGACGCTCCTTACCCGCAGCTTTTCTATTTTTGCAATGTATGCAGAATGACGTTATTCCCATGCATGTTATGATATGACCGTAATCCTCTAACTCAAGGATACAAAAGGCCACTTCGAACACAGTACAATGTAACAAGGCTTATTATTCATTTCTTAGCAAATATTTCAGCTTTTTTGCATGTGGGCAGGCCTTACTTTTGCCCCTCCAAGTCCACATGTGACAGTGATGACGGATGCATTGCTATACAGAGGGAAGCCTCTCTCCACTCCATGCCTCCGGGGTCTAGGACACTGCCTCTCAAGGCAAACATATCAATGTGTTAGAACTCCAAGAGGTGTTCAAAGCTTTTCATCGCTTTCGACAGCACATAATAGGCTGTTCACTCTAGTCCAGAGAAACATCTCAACGACAGTGGTGTACATCAATCGTCAGGGTGGCACTCGTCCTTAACTCATGCACCCTTGCATGGCAGCTCTTCATGTGGACAATCAATCAGGGGATCAGCCTTGAAGCTGTCCACATAGTGGAAAACAGCACAGCAGATGCACTTTCTTGGATGCTGTCCGACCGACAGAGTGGACTTTTTATCCGAATGTTGTCAGCCAGATTTTCGTGGAGATTGAGCGTCCTCAATCCGACCTCTTCACTCTCGTCAACAATACCCACCTTCCAATGATCTGCTTCAGGTTCCCTCGCCCCCGAGTGGGGGTGACAGATGCCCTACAGATCGACTGGTCCGGCCCTGTGGCATACATCTTCCTTCCAATCTCCCTCATCCCATGGGTCCTGTCCAAGATAGAATGGAGCTATGTCCGATCCTCCTCATTGCCCCGCTCTGGCCTTGCCAACTGTGGTTTCAAAGACAGACGAAACTCCTGGTACAACAGCTGCTGGTCCTTCTGGTCAGAGAGGACCTCCTCTGTCAGCCTAAATCAGAGATCCTTCACCCACCACCGGAGAGTCTTCACTTGACACGCTGGACATTGTCCAATGACTTTTCAGGGCATCCGGTTCTTCTGCAGATGCTGCGTCTAGTTCGGCCCAGGGTCAACAGCTGTCCACTCACAAGACTTACATCAGTCAACTACATTTTACTAGAGGGTGTAACGACCACGATGTTTCTTCAATCGAAGATCCTGTGAGTTCCGTCGAAGGCTTTTTCATGTATCTGTTTTCACTCAGGCTTCCAGGTTACTGCCATCCACAACTACTTGTCAGCCTTGCCAGCTGTCCACTCAGGCTTCAGCGGTGGCTCGACTCTTTCCGACCACACTGCTATCCTATTTCCCCTTTAAGGGATGTTTGTTGGGCATCCCCACATCAAACGCCTCGTCTTATCCTTGGACCTCAGAAGCTTTCCTCAAGTTCTTGCCAGTCCTCCCTTTTTCAAACCAATGGCTGATGTGTCTGACCTGCATCTCAGGATCAGGCTAACACTCCTCCTCACAGGCTGGCGGTCTCCTCACGGTTGTTACATCGAGACGAGGTAGCGAGCTACATGCCCTGTCGATTGTCAATGGGGCACAGCTGCTAGGAGCCACACAGGGTTCCTCTTGCCCCAACCATCGGGTTCCTTATGCAAAACCAGATGCCTACCTTCTGGTCTCCCAACATATTTGTTCCTGACACAGCCTCATTTTCAGGAGATGACTCTGTGCAAGAGATGGTGTCTGGTTTGGACTCTCAAGTAATATCTTGCCAGGGCTGAGCATTGCCAAGAATCTAATACCCAGCAACGAAACCCTTTTTCACCCGGTGTCAGAGGACATTATTGCCTGATGGACGGTCTCGGCCATTATCTTCAAAAGCTGAGACTTGCCAGCACAACATGATGAGATGACCCGATCTCAAGTCAGGGCCCATGACGTTTGGGCTGCCTCTGCATCCTGGTCGTACTGCAGAGGAGTTCCTCTAACTCAAATCTGCCAGGTGGCTTGCTGGAAATCTCCCTCCGCCTTCACCGAGTGTTACCTGAAAGATGTTTTGCAGAGCGAAACATCTCATGGCACAGCAACCTTTTGCTTGGTGGTCCAGACAATGTCCAGCACTGTTCCGGACCGGACGGTGGATACTTCAACCTAGGGGTTTCTTCTAGTGAGTGTCAACGCTCGCCTTATGTTTCTATTAGTAGTTACACTCCCGTCGCCGACCCACCTCCAGGGTACGGTGACACTCTGCATATGTAGACTGGGCAGGGGTATGTGAACGCAGGAGACTCCTTCCCCACATTAGTGTGGGTCGAGTCTCCTAGTGATACTTACCCCTGCCCAGCTGCTCCCAGCCCATTCTTCCCCACTTTGGCTCCAGTGGTTTTCACCGCTTCGAAAAGGACAAACATAGCGGCGGGATCACAGTGCATTGTGGAGGGTCAAGGGGCAGAATGCATAATCAAGTCTTTTCAGCAAATTGTAATAGGCACATGGGAAATTTGCATATGTAGGCTGGGCAGGGGCAAGTGTCACTAGGAGACCCAACCCATACTAATGTGGGGAGGAGTTTGCTTCACAGAAATTTGTATTCAATGAAAAAAAAGGAAATGAATTCTGTTGTCTTTTCAGTCTTTACAAATCACCTCTGAGCAACCCCTTCACGTTAAAACGTTTTATTTATATGTTTTCCTGCTAACATTTGCATTTCTGTTATATTCACGAGTTGCCTTCACGTTTCACTGTCACATTGGTGAAAACGTGTACAAAGCTCAATGCATTAAAGCAATGCTGCGCTGGAAATCTGGCAACCAGTGTATACTAATGGTGTCTATACACTATACTCCAGCCATATACCCAAGCAACCCTACAGGTGGACATCAAAAAACGTTGACATTGCAAGAAGATCTCTGCAAGTTAATTCACAGAACTTTCTCTGTTGTCAGTGTGTGTTTTGTCGGTTCACAAGTTAAATTTTAGGTTGTTTTGCCTGTACTTGAACTGAACGTGCTTCTGCAAAATTGCCTGCTGCAGCATGAGGTTTATTGCCCACCCATCTGGATGCATCACGCATGCTTACCATGCAATGCGGTTGTGATTACCTGACTTGCGTTGTGCATAGTGGTGTAAATTGTCCATAATTCTTATGAATTGTCAACCGTAGAAATGGTGACATAGATTGAGGCAAGTTATCCCATTTGGGGCAATTTTTGGTACATGTACATGTAGCTTTTGCTCCCATGCATGCCATTCCATCAGCATAAAAATATTGACCCCCCAAAATATTTGTCTGACCTACCGACCCTTTTTTGAGAGGCATGTAATAGGAAGTATAACTATTTTTTTGGGGGGGGTGGCCTATGCATTACAATTTAATTGATTTGCACTGCTAAATTGGAACTCTAATGGATGGGCTAGTAATCATTCTGAA